ATCTTCATCTCCCATGTGGCATTTAATGTCATTCCTCCACTCAGCTGCATTACTGCACCTCTGTTTTAGGATGAATTCTTCCTACTGTTTGGTCACACAAGGTTGATAATCTTGAGGTAAATAAAAGTGGAGAAAACAAGCACCTGGAGACTTTAGGATCTCTGATATCTTGGAATTGTGAGGGAATCTGTCACTTCCCCCTGTTCCACTAAACCTACCTGTTTTGTTCTCTAAGCATTTATTCTGGCTTAGAATGAATGAGAAGGAGAAAAAAATTACAGGTTCCTTCTTGTTCCCTTGAGAAGTATCTGGGAATTTCTCTTCTTTCATAAGGAAGTAATTTGTACCTCCTTTGCTGCTTGAAGGACAAACTGTCAGGCAGAAATCTTTCTGGACAGCCTGAACATCCTGAAGCATTGCAGATACACAGCAGATTACCAGGGATACTGGATGGAGACTGATTACTACATGTCATGCAGAAAATGATTCTGTATTTCCTGTAAATGTTTCATTATAGCTTAAATCAGCCAGCTTGTCTGGCATGAGAGAGCAAATTATTGCTTGGCATGCAAAGCAATTAATTTTAGTTTTAAAATGAGAGACAGAGAGAGCTTTAACAATGATGGTGACAAACAGAGATGTTACTATTGGCTTTGGACTGCTATGTGAATGTGTATTCTCCTCTTCCACTGACTTAAAAGGCCATCACAAGTTCTTGTCTAAAAGCACCAAAACCAATTCCTGTGTTTTCATGACTACCAGCAACACCGTGACCATCATAAAGGCCAGAATGGTGTATACAACGACAGTCTAAAGGTGATTTATCATTCTTTCCTGGTGTCATACACTTTCATCAGTTGCAAGGCATTACTAAAAATCCATTCAAGGTAAACTTCCAAAAGCATCTTGTGGTCTGATATCAATTTTATGTCTGTTCATATAATCATGTATTGCCAGAGAAAGATCTATCCCCAGGATGGAGTGCAGGAGTCTCGTTTAGTGGGAGATTCTGGGCAAGCAGCTGTGAGATGGAGCTCTGAGAGCTCCCAAATTCCAGGCTGGCTCATCAGCCTGCAGCAGTTACTCTGTAAGGAATGTGTTTAACCAACACAGGCTTCCAGACCCTGAAGATGGGAGAAAGGATGTGAGACCAAGATGGATTCACCAAATATAACCTACCTGTTTACTTTCAGTAGGTTAATGGTAATGGCAGAAACCTGATGGATTCATGAGGCATCAACATGAGCTTTGGCTGAAGTCTGGCAATAAACTGAATACACCAAATCCCAAGAAAAGCCTCTCTCAGAATTGCTTGCTGAAAGTGAAAGGCATAGGCTATCCTTCAAAGGAGTCAATGAGTAAATGACAACCCAGTGCAAGAAATATTTTCTTCTAACATTTAAAAATAACTCCATGGCTGAGGATGCTTACCTGTTTCCTCCTCCCTAGTAAATAATTTTTTACCTCCTACATAAATTCAGTAGCATTCCTGTCCCTTCATTCTCACAAAGACAATAAAATCCTTGATTGTGCAGAGACAGATTGCTTTAGCTCCTCTACCATAAGATACAGGTGCCAGCTCTGGGACTGATCTTCTTTCAAATAAACTCAACATAATGCAGAGAAGAGAAGAAATCTGAAACTGGCTGAGACTGCACCCTGCTGAAGTTCATATGTATATTTTATAATAAGCTAAAGAAATGATGAACAATGATATGCATGCTATGTACTGGTCTGATACCACATTTGGAGCCTGAGATCACATTTTTTTCCCACAAAGTCAACAAGTGGGGGAAATGTAAAGTCTCTATCACCTCTGTGAAAGGCAGAACCTGGTTATCCAAACCACGTAAAGAGCAGTCACAGATGTACGACAGTAACAAGCCCAACAAGGCTTCAGCACTGCTGAGCTTGACAGCACTGTAGCAGTTTGATGACTGAAGAGCTTAATTACAGCTTTGCACTTTGTCAGACTCACCTAAATAGAGTCAGCATACCATAGTTTTCAAGTCATTTGAGATGATTAACTGTGGAGTAACTCCAGATCTCAGACTCTGCATTGTAAGCTCTCTCTGATGACTCAGATTAATTTGGAGGAGATACACAAGACAGGAGAGAATGAAGATATTCCTTTAGGAAGTGTGAATAGCTAAAAAAATTTTAAAGCACAACTTCCTTCAAACTCAGATATGGCAAATACTGAGCTAATTCTGTGGGCTGAAGACCTGGACCTTCACGGAGTGTTAAACGCTGTCTTATCTAAGACAGATAACTGACCCTTCCTCACCAGTACAGCTGACAGAGGATCTCCAAGTATCAAAAGGGCCTGCTCAAGGGGAAGACACTGAAGAGGCTTGGAAAGGGTTTGCTGCTACAGGTAACTGACTCAATAAACTTGTTGGTGTGTAGATGGCAATGACAGCATTTGTGTTTTTTGGATTCAGCCAATGTGATGAATGCCACTAGCATGTGAAGGAAAAATGAGCAACAAATACTTTGTCAGAGATTTGCAGAGGAGTTTTTGGAATATTTTTCTTTAAACTCTGAAATTCTAATATTAATGCTGTGTTTGTGTAGTTTAAAGATTAGCATTTCTGCTCCACAGGCATTTCCTACTACAACAACCAAGAAAGGGCATTGAACCTGCTGAAACCACTTAGCCTCTGGTATTACTCCCAAAACTTTCTGTGCAAGCAAACTTGGACAAAACACTGACTAAAACACAGGATTTAACCTCCCTTTACCTAGGGTTTACCTCTATAGGACTATTCCCTTACATAAGGGCATGTACTAAGTTCATGTTTGTATAGTGCCTATACCTTTGGATGGAAGTTTTTCCAGAGCTGCTACAGATTTTCTCTATTATTGAGCAATAAACAAGTAATTTGTGCCAACACTCCAAGTCCCACCTGGGCACTATTTTGTACTGTTCTGTGAGAAAACGGTTTCTTTTCTTTTAAATGCCAGTACTTTTCCAAATTTCAAGAAGCATTCCAAGTAAAGTGCTTTTGATTTGATTGCAAAACAATTCAAGCACAGAAAAAAGACTATGCTTACAGAAAGCTTTCTGCATTGCAAGTGACCGTACAATATTTTAACACACCCACTCACCAAAACTTTCCACTGTAATATAATGAACCAGGACACTACATCTGCTTTGGAGCCTTCTCTAATGTCTCCTATCCTCCAAAATGCTGTTAAAAAATTAATTAAACCTTTCCTATAAAAGAACATGTGAGCACTGAGCTCCACCTTCCCTCCCAGCCCTAATGGAAATCAGTGTTTCAGCACGTGGACCTCTGCTGATCTCAGCTGTGCCTCAGGGTCAGGGACAGAAAGGTGGGCTGCAAGCAGGCAGGCACAAAAATATTCACCAAGTAACACCACACAGAAAAGCAGGAACTACCTGACTGTCCATAACAGCACAGCCTTCTCAGCAAGTTCCATCCTGAATCTTTTCTACACCAATTCCACCTCTCAGACACTCTAAAGCTTCATCTAGGGCAGACAAAAACTACAACAACCAAGCTCGGTAGTAACATGTTCTTTCACCACAGCAAAGACATATGTATGAAGCAAAGACATCTATATAAAGCAGAGAGACACATTTCCTCGGATGTATATCTGTAAAAAACACACCTCTCAAACAATGAGCAAGGGGAACACAATTTCCACCAAGCAATCTGATAAAAATCTACACAGATGTCTCTTCACAGCCTTGGTAGTGCCAGAAAGGTTTGCTTTGGCCATTTTGCTTTGACCCAAGAGTCAGACTCCATCAGAAATCAAATGTGTCACTTTTCATGCAGAAACTCAAACAGAAACTCCAGCTAAAAGGACTGAATCCCATTTCAGAGCATTATAAAACTGCTGTGCTTTGATTTCATGTATCCCTGCTTCTGTTTTGCATATGAAGAATAACTTGTGAAGTGTACTTGTAGTCTCACTCCACTGTTTTGTTTTGCAGTGAGCAGACAGAGATTAGATTTCTGGTCTTGTACTCTTTAGCCTGAGTGAGTGGTAAAATGACAACAAGATCAGAGCCTGAGTGGACAAGGACATGTAAGCAATCTGGCTGAGTAGTTGCACAATGAAATGATAGGTATGACAAGTAGCTTCCCTCAATTCTGAAGCTCAAGTACAGCAGCTCTGATTCAAGGCAAACCAGATGATAATGTGCATCCATTGGGCAAGACACACTGGAAGGGAGGCATTCTGTCCTCATCTTCCTACCTTTAAAACAATGTATGACATTCATTTCTAAGAAAGGTCCATTAACTTCTACTATTAAATGCTTATTTTGTTTAAAGAAAAAGCACAAGTGGTGCTAACTGCTGAAACACTGGAGCTGACATCCACACTGACAGAAGTTGGCTGTTGTAGAAATAGAACACCCACACCTCACATTAGCTCTTCCAGTGAAATTAACTCTATTTTTGACTTGAAAAACAAATGGATGTGCATATGTAAGTATCCTTAGTCTGCACATTCCTAACAGACAGCTAACCTGATTTCAAGTAGACTCTCTTTTTTTTTTTTAATTACTTCAACATAGCTTTGGAATTGTACATATATAAATCCCAATACAAATATACAGTACTAAGCTTTTAAAACCCAGATTTATGACAGAAATGAGGAGACAGACTCTTCAACAGGGGCAAGGCTTAGGAGCATTAAAATAGATCAGGTCAAAGCACTGTTCAATGTGATTTTCTTCCTTCTCCATGGCACATCCAGCTGTCCTGTAACACCGGTTACTAGAAGACTCTTTTCTCTGAAACTGCAGTTTCAACTATTACTGTTTTCACCGAATCCTTAAAGAAAAAATACCAGCTCCTACTGTTGCATCCTCCCTATGAACCAAGTGAAGAGAGACAAGCCAACACCTTATTAAGCCCTGGCAAAGCTTTTAAGATGCCAGCAGAAATAAACAGGATGTTTACAATGCACAGAAAGGTACTGTTATGAACAAGGACAAAATTTTGGTATGAAAAGCTTACCTTAGGAGAGGAAGAAAGGTCCCTTGATGCAGGAATTGCTGACATGTTCTCACCCATGCCCATCTCTGTCTTTGGCAAGAGGTTTGGGGGTTCAGGAGCTTTTCTTTTCATCTTCTTTTCTGGTTCTTGCAGAGCAACTTTAATTAAAGCAGGGCTTGATTTTGGTTCATAAAATGGATTTGATCTAATTAAAAGAAGGGAAACACATTTCTTGGCTATCTCCTTGGAAATAAATCCAAAAATAAGACCTGCTTAGGAAAGTCAATGACTAAAATGCTTTTATTATCCCACATAAGAGTGTTTTACCTTTATACACTTTTAGATACTACATTTTCATACCATTGAAAAGAGAGTTACAACAGCTAAAACTGCATTATTCAGTCACAATTTTCACAATTTTTATAAAGTCCTGTAAATTGCAGAAGTTTTATTAACTGCATAAAGCTAACTCTTCAATTATACTTCTCCATCTATCAAAGAGTGATCTGATTTTATGACAAGATCAATACCAAAGAATGTGAGCGAAGCTGCTGGGTGTTTAACACTCTAATGAACAGGATAAAGATAGCTTCATTAGAACAATTAAGAATCAGGCCACTGGTACAGTCATGGTCCAAGAGGGTTTTAGAAGCCTCACTCTTGGCTGTCCAGTTTTGGGAAGTTTGGCCTCCATGGGGACACATTCAGCCTCCAGTGTATTTCAAACTCTGTAGTTTACAGGCACCACAACATTTTAAGAAAACACCTTAGGTAAGAGAACAGAGGAAAAAAAACACATCTGACTTGCACATATCTCTCTGCAGACACCAGTAGGCATCACCTGTCTATTTGGATAGCTGTTTTTATAACTAAACCTTATTTGAGAATGTTACAATGCAAACATCTTCCACCAAGTAAATGCAGTCCAAAGAATTATCGTTAACTCTGGTGTCCATGTTCCAAGTCTTCATTTGTACCACCCTAAGTAAATACCACCACAACCAAATTCTGCCAAATTTTATGTTAGCTTGATACACCAAATATCAATCAATCAATAATATATTATATAATGGCTTCTTCTACAGCAGCTTTGTATCCTGCTAAGGATACTTAAGGGAATCTTTGTTGAATTATTTAATTATTAATTATTTGCTTTTCATATTTTGCAATCCAAAATTGGACAGTTAGTTATGAAATCGGTGCAGTAATTTATTCTTTTCTAGTCCCTCTTTCCCCTGCAACATATATTTATCACGTATCTCAAACTATGATTCCCAACAATCTATCTGCAGACAGTTATTATATGCAGTGTAACCAACAACAACAAATAACCCCAGTCCCTTGAAGTCCCTCAGAACTCAACTCTGGATGGAAACACTAATGCATTAAATAAAAGTCTACCTAGCCAGATCCATTCACAAATTCCCTCTCAGGATAAGAGTCAGGAGCTGGTACACACTATTTTTAAGAACTACAACAGCAGTAAAAACCAACTATTCATCCAGTTGCTTTCCACACAACATGAAATTTCTCTCCTTCCTTTATACTTGTAGTATAAAAACATCTTTCAGTCTCACAGACAAACTTTAGACTTTATTTTAATGCAATTTACAGTAATCCTGTTTTCACTGAGAAAAAGCAAGCAATTAATAACCCACATCACAGAAATCTACTTTTGAAAGTCAACATTTACCAAAGCACATAAGTGAAAATCAGGCATAAAATCTCCAGATCTTTCTAAGAATCTGCTGCTTCTGTTCCTTACAGAAAAAGACATCCAACTCCTGAAGCAAAAGGAAAGACTAACACTAAAATAACTCATTTGTTGACTGAAGGCAACTTTCAGGTGCTCCCACTTTGCTGCCCATCAAGTGCAAAGCCACCAGCACAATAAAAACTAAAGGGGACCAAAGGAACAAGTTAAATGGAAACAGAAGGGTGTTTTCTATGGGAGGCAGGAGGAAAAGGAGGTATTCAGGCTGGAGTGGAGAATGCATCCAGCTGTCAGTAGCTCTAATTTAGCTGACAGCCCAGCTCAGCTGTCTTCAGACACCAGAGAGTTCAAAGGGAGGTGAAAATGAAGATAAAAGAGATAAAAGGCTGAAGAACAATGCATTCTATGGGACAGCACAAGGTTTTTATTTAGTTCCACAAGTCAGCCTTCAGAACAGCCAACAGGCACAGCATGTCTGGCAGGAATTTACCTCTGAATAAGAAAGGTGTAATTGAAAGGTGTTAAAATTATTTTGGTGTGAGAAAAAACCCAACACCTTATCAATGAGAGCAAACAGGTCTGGAAGAACCATCTTTTGAATTTTTAAGCTCCAGAACTGCCTGCACCGCAGGTGTCATCCCAAAAAACTGCCCTCTGTACGCACCAGAAGGAATTGCTAAAAGGACTTTTTCCTCTAGAGAAGAACTTGGAAACCAGGCTAAACCCACACATTTTGGTCACAGAAACAGACACAGGTACATGCACAGAGCAGACATGCACATGCGCTACCTTCTGTCTTCCTCTCTGCACTACCCTTAATTGGTCTTACAAAAATTGAGCAAGATTTTTGAAAAATAATGTTAATACAGGAAAAAAACAACCAAAACAGTTCTTTTCTGAACAAACTGTCACGTTTGAAGTAATGAGGATCCGATATATGTAGCAGAGTTTGGTTCAACAGCTTCCACATGGCTCTACAAGAAATTAAGCATCTGAAAAATGTGGTTGAAAAGAGCCTTAGCTAGAAAATATTAAAGCACTTTTTTCTGAGGTCAGCCCCATATTTACTGGTTCTGTGAAGTTATTTAATGGCTTCACATAAAATGATTTGTCTATAGAGACACTAGGCTGTCCTCCACAAAATTTAAAAATTCAGACCTGACAAGATACCTGGCATTAAACTCACTGCCTATGTGGTGGCTTGCAGCTTCTTGTGCAACAGGCAACTTCAGCAGATGGCAACTCGATAGCCTTGCCAATTACACAGCATGATTCTAAGCCATAAAATGATTAAAAAGATAAGAAGCCACAGAGCCAAATGATATTGGAAAGCAAGTTTTATTCTGACCAATTTAAAAATTATTTTGATCAGTCTTACCAGTTAGCTGAAAAAAAATTTAAAAATAAACATTTTACTGAGGAGGAAACCCAAAGTTGTCAGTGTGGCAGGGCTAAAAGAGCAGCAAATTTTGCCAGTCAGAAGAACTAAGGTTGAAAGCATTATACATTAAGCAGTTGTGAGCTGTGCTATTTTCAAATAATTAACTTCACAAGGTGGGCCATCCTTCACTAACAGGTGGATTTTAATACATAAAATTCGAAAAGGCAAAAGCAGAATTTTATCAGTGAAATGTCCAAACTAACAAAAGGAAAATGTGTTCCTTATATTTCACTAGGTATGAGAATTTAGTCAGAGGAAGTATGTTTTGAGAGCAGTTTTGCAGCAGAGTAAATGTACTGGCTCACCTAAGTCCCTCTGTGCCATGCAATGCCTCACAATGCTTATGCTTGTGACTGTGCTTTGTGTGTGTTATGAAGTATTAGTTCTCTTCACAAACATTAGTCAAATACATTTCAAAGAAGCAAATTACCCAGGTAAATCCTTCACAGAGGTGCTCTGAGGCCAAGTACCTTTTACAGGATTACAGTGAGAGTCTGTTACAAAACTGGAGTCAGAGTTCAGCTCTTGGGGCACTTCGTGTAAGCTCCGAGTCCAGAATCACAACTAAGGATCTGCCAGAGCAGAGTGGGACAAGGGTCCTGATGCTAACTGCTGCGTCCATGTCTCATGACACGACACTGCATCCCACACAAAATGTAAGAGGAAAATGCCAAGCAGTACATTAAGTGAACTCCAATTAAACGTTAAGACATGGGGGTAAAAATACATTGTATTTCCTGATAATCAATAAATCAGGAGCCTTCAATTTCTTCTGTTTCATGCCTTCCACCTATAGGTGGAAGGCAAAAAGGCAAAAGGACACCTGGAGACAGCCCTTGACCAGTGACAGTCAAAAACGAAAGACAATTTTTAAAAACTCAAAAAACAAGATGTTATGAGAGAGGTAGAAAATAACATGCAAAGTTTTCTATTCTCATGATATGACTCAGTTGTTCAGCTTTGTCTTGAATACACTGCTCAGGCCAAGTCAACACATCTTAAAATAGACACATAGCAGAAGAAATAACAGGGTCCAGAGACGGGCGGTGGAAATGATTAGAGAGATGAAGAGACTTCTGTATGAAGAGAGATCGAAAAAGTTAGCACTCAGACAAGTGACAAGGAAAGGTGAACATGCTAGAGACAGACAAGACAACAAATGTTTATGGCAGGTAAATCTAATACTACTAATTGTTGTTTTGATAAGCCAGCAGAAGAGACAGTATGGGAGTGGAAGGGAATTTATTTACAATCAACAAAAGAAACACATTGCATTAGAGATCTTGTTTCCTTGTGGAACTCTCTGCCACAAATTGACAAGGAAACCTAGACTTCGGTAGGCTTGAAAGAAATTACCCACTTATGTAGATAATAAACGCATCAATATTCACAGTAGGTAAAAACAATACACATCTGGACATAAACCCTCATGTCTGAGGGCACTCAAAAACCACCAACTTACATTGTCTGCAAGAATTTTACCTTTGGTGCTCACCAGACCATGCCTTAGCAAAAGCTTTCTACTTAAAAATTTGAAAATTAAGGACATGAGATGAGGCAAAACAGTGTTTGTAGAGGTGATCTAATACTGCATGTCCTGTGTTTCTAGACTGGACTTTAATCATTACACTCATTCCTCCAGAGTGTTTCACTGTAAAGATTCAAGGGTTCTCCTTGCCACACCTCCACCCAATGCACTCACAAATGGTCTCCAGGTCTTTTTGTATGATGTATTGCTCCTATAACTTCAGAAGAAAATGTGGAGAGGAAGATTACTTTGGGGGTCAGGACATAAAACTCTTTTGTAAAAGATGTAAAAAATTGATTTTAAAGTGTTTACTGACTCTTTATCCTTCCATCTTCCATGGGACACTGCTTTATCATGAAAATACCGACCAGCTTTACATTCAAGTAGAATCCACCTATGGATTTATCTTTGGGGGAAAAAAACCAATGAAGCAAATGGAATTAAAAGAAGGAGGCTGTTTTTTGTTAACCAAGGGCTAAAATCCAGTACACAGCAAAAAGAAGGGTTACAATCCTGCCACAAAACCCTTTGGCATAGATGTGCTTAGGGTGGAAATGGAAGTATAAACAGAAAACTTGCTCATCCATATGGCTTTTTCTCTTTCTGCTTTTTCCAATCTTTGCTGTCCTCTATAGCTATATCTCGGTGGGTGTAAAATTCACACATTTTTATCCCCTACGGGTTCTGGTGACCAGGGAAGGACCAGGAATGCCTGGTGTGTTTGTCAGTGTGATCACACTGTGCTCGGAAGACACAGCAGCCAGTGCTGTTTGTTCAGGCACTGTCCTGACAAATGGAGCTGGCAGAGGCATCATTCCCAATAACCTTTATTTATTTATTTTTATTTTTATTTTTCACAGACCAAACATCAACATTAAATCCATGGCTACAGAGCTTTAAAAGGACAAAACTGCAGAGCCCTTCCTATGTTTCTATTAGAGTGTCTGGGAATCCTTCCATTTCCTAGACCACAGCTATCGACAGAGAAACAGGAAGATGATGATACCATATCTCTGTTAATATTGAAGCAATGCAAATGTCATGCCATGATAAATCTCATTAAATAATGTAAAATTAAATGTTAATTAGAATTGTTGTCTGTAAAATTGCTCAAATATAATCACCATAACCTGTCTCATGAGTGGTGTGGTTGGTGACTAATGACCACAAACAAGGATTAAGGATGCACCTTCCAACCTCCCAAGGAATTGCAAAAAGCTCACCCTTCCTGATAGCATCTATACTGTAATACAAGGCAGTCAGTGTGAGTTTATAAAAGTTTTATGTGTGGTCATGCTGAAAGAAACAACCTAAGTAAGTACATATGGTGTTATCTTTCCCATATATATTCAGTTTATGAGATTCTCAAAAATGTGCTATGCAGATTGCAAAAGCTCTTCATTTTTACATACTGCATCAAGATAAAACAAACTCCCTGTTATCATTGGCAAAAATTATTATTTTTTGTAGTAAAAATAATGGCAAAAAGAAGAGGAAGGCTCAAGGTCTTGCTCCTTTGATTTCTGGCTCATTTGCAATTGTCAGAGCATGAAGTGTCAGAAAGATCCACAGATTTGTTCCCTATCAAATCATTTGCTATCAATAAGGCAAAGGAAAGTTCCTCACTGATCATGTTCAGCTGAATAGCATGACCTGGGGGTATGGTATTTCCTGCTGCTGAGCTGCCCAAGGATGAGTCTGTCCTAAGGAGGTGATTAAGGATCACCATGGTTCAACCCAATACACCTCAAGATTAAGCCAGGGATCCCACTACTAATGCCTGCAAAGCTGCTGAAAGATGGAGAATCATACTTACTCATCCAGCTCCTCCTCCTCAGCTTTAGAGGTATCTGCATAGAGGTATTTGCTCATATCCACTGGTCTGATGCTTTTCCTTTTTGCAGGTTGTGGAGGAGAATCTCTTACACTTCCAGGTGCTTCAGGTGGATGATCCGGCTCATCAAATGGGTTTAAGTACTCTGGAGCATCTTCATCCTTGAAGGGATTGTAACTGTCAACATAGAAACTTTCTTCTGGCTTTGAAGATGCAGCTCTTTCAGGGTGTAGTTCTAGCAAATAACAACAACAACAACAACAACAACAACAACAACAACAACAAGAAAAAAAAGAAAAAAAAAGAGACAGATTCAACAAATTAAAAATTTGAAACCATTTTATCAGATCTTTATATTTTAAAGGCATATGAAAAGGTCTGCTTCTTAACTCTCAACACATAAAGTTATAGCCTTAGGTGAATTTTCGTGCTTGTTTATTCCAAAATAGGTCTTTCAAAAGGTCTTTTAATTTAGACTATATTGATTGAATAGGCTTCACTTTCTCACTTACAACAGCTCTTTCAACATCAGTTATTCGTTTTCTAATTTGTCATATAAATGGCATCACAACAGATATAAAAACATTTTCACAAACTATTAGCCAATGTGTCCTAACAAAATGTTCCTATTTATTTATTTGAGCTTTTAATAAAGAAAAAAAAACATTTTATAATATTACTATTATTGGATTTAAAAATGGTGATAGTAAGTAGGTGGCCTTTTAATTTCTTAAAATTATTGAACTAAAAATTAGCAATTAAGTATGACCAGTAATTAATATCAAAACACGTGTGCCCCTGGTAACAATACAGAATCTCACTGTAAAAACAAATTTCAATTAACCCTAAAGAGACAACTAATCAAATCACTCATCTTTTATTTGGGCTGTACAACAAACAGTTACAGCTGGAGCTGCATGCTGTTCTCTGTGTAATGTCCTTTCTGCAGTGTCTGTTGTTCTACACTGAATGGCTTCTGCATACTGAATAATGCCAATCCCCATAGAGCAATACAACATTTCTTGCAAATACGCTTGGTAATGTTAATTTTACTGTTCTTGCAGCATCAAATAATCAGCAGTTCTGTTCAATAGCGGATGTAATGTACTTCCAAAATCTACACAAATAGGAACTTCAATGCAGTGTCATTAAAACCTAACTTTCAATAACCATATCCACATTATTCTTAATGACAAGTGTGTGTTTTTCAGAGATATGATTACTAAACTGGACTAAACATACTTTTAAGGTTAAGAGAGCAACTCTAAAATTTATTTGTAACAAGAATCTAAAAAATAAAAAGATGGACTTTCAAGTGGATTTTTCACTGAAGAAATATTTGGGAAAATGAAATCACTAGTCACACAAAGAACAAAGGGAAGCACTGTGCTTAGGTGAGCTTGGATGGATGTACCAAAGCTGCTAATCCTGGCGAATTGCTAGAAAATGTGAGAGTTCTCTACCCTGCCAGCAAACATCCAGCTCACCCTGAACCCAGCCATTAGCATAGCCCAAGGTGATGGAAAGCCCTACCCCGCGCAGTGTGACCAGCTCTAGCTTACAGTGTGAACCAGAGCCATTCCTAGCTGGATAGGAATATGATCCCTGGCTGCAGGTAGTGACTTCACCTCTCTGTGCACTGGACTAGTCACTAGATCAGGGCAAAGGCTCAGAGGAGGAAAGGCTTTAGCTCTTCTCAGGACTACAGAGATCCACCTGCAGCCTGTGGAGGAGACCCATGCTGGAACACGACCATACAGACAAACAACTGCAGGAAAAAGTCAGGGTGTGTGTTTGCAGTATGTCAGCTGCAGTGCATGTGCTCACTCCTACCCCAGAGTAAATGCTTATCCCTTAGGAGAAGGGAATAAACTACTGGGAACTTATGCTGGGAGAAAGTGTAGTTACTGCACAGCAGTATTTTAATCCTAGGTTATGGTGGTGATGTGATCATAAGCCCACAACCTTTTAAGAAAGCTGTTTCAGAGAAAGCCGCAGTGAAATAACATTGAAGGTCTATAGCTTAACTGACAGTTAAAAAGAAAGCATTTAAAGCAGAAATCCTTAGAAAACACAAATATGATCAAATCAAGCAAGAACCCCTCAGAGTACTATAGATTAAATATATCAGAGCAGAGCCCAATATCTAAAATGTATCTGTTCATTTATTTTAAGCTAAACTGGAAAAGTGGTTCTATAGGTCATTCTAGCATCCAGTGCAGGTGGTCAAGGCCATCAAAAGCTTCACTCTGCTTGCCCTGAGATGTCCTCAGTGTGGGTATTTGCACCTGAGCTTACTCCTTGACACTCAAAGCCTGCATGTCCAAACTGTTTTTAAAGTCAGGGGAGTCAAATCCCACCCTCACTGTACACACAGAATCTACTGTACACACCATGCCTTGAAACTCACAGTAGTCAGAATACTACTCAAATATTCCCCACACATTTAGTGATTTGATGAACTAGAGCAAGCAGAAGTGCTCTGGAGATGTTTCCTCAGAAGACAGTTCCATACAAAAAGCAAAAAAAACTAATGAAATGCAGAAAAAAAGGACTGATACCTTGTTCAAATAGTGTGGCTTATTGACAAAGCTTTAACCAAACTTTTTACTACTTTAAACTTTGCTCAGATATTAGAATATTTTATCAAGGGAGTGGACAACTACAAATAGCTGCTTCTGCAACTCCATATGATGGATCATTGCACCTGCACATGAATCTGTTGATAAATACACATTATCATATCTGAGGGAAACTTTCTGATAACACACAAGAAGAAAACTCAGTAATATATCCTGAAGTTAAAAATATTCAGGGAAACAACCTCTTAAAACTACAGTGTAAGCTTTTATTTTAAATTTGCTTTTAAGTGTCTCCTGGAAACAATGAGTTAAATGCTTGTTTAAATCTGATAAATTTAAGGGGCAATGCAAATGGTTTTTGCAATTCTTTCTATTTCAACACTGGATCAAGTGCTGTAACCCTAACTATGACAAAATTATTTCTCTTTTTAATAGGCCCAACAGGAACTACATGTTTGGCCTTACACACACAATGTTACGTATAAGCGCTCAGACACCTCTGGCTTGTTATTAACTAAAATATTTCACAAAATCCTACACACAGGCTGAAATTAAAAATTAAAATAATTATATTAATTATAATTCTTAAGACACTTTTATAGGCAGAATTTTGTAGAGGCTCAGCTAAAACACACTTAACTTGGCTACTCATTCTCTCTGCTCCTGCCATCCAGGATACCATTTTCCTCCCCCTTCTGCTTCCTTCAAAGTTCCCACAGGGACAGAGGGTTCCCATAAGGGTCCCCACCTGAACCCAAACAGGTTCTCTCCCATGGGGTCTCTGAAACCCTTTAGAACAAGTTTTGTGTCAAATGTTGGTCGTCACAAGGCTCTCCATAACAAATTAATTGTTATGATGATGACTCAACAGCACTGCTCTTAAAGCCACACCCACTGTCACCTGTCACTTTTCTGTAACAGACTCATTTTCTCAAAGAGCTAATGATGCTGAGAAGTGCACTTTGGCAGGCTAAACAAATAGCAGGGGTCTATTTCCCTCTTGAAGCTGCTTTTACATTAAGAGGGCAGCACAGATTCCACTGCTTTCCCCACATCATTCATCACAGCTCCACAAGGACTCCAGTCTCTACATTGATATAAATTTAAAAAAAAAAAAAAAAAAAAGAAAAACGTGCTTGCAGTTTGGTACATCAAGAGTCAAACACAAAATAATTTTGCATGATTAAGTAATAAAGCCACAGGGGTAGGAGTGACAACAAGAGAGGCAGAAGTATTACTCCAGCAGAAGCATCAGCTACTTTGTGCCAGATTCTGGAAACATTACTTGCCCTAACTCCACTGAGAAAGACTGTTTGTGATAATAATCATTCTGGCACTACCTATCTGCACGATCAGCCAGAGCATCTCCAGAAATCACCCTGCCCTTCAACCCACTTGCCTTTTGTAACACAAACATATTGTGACACGTCCCTTAAAACCAAACAAAACCTCCACCAAAACACGGCACGTACCACTTTCCCCTTGGCAGAGGATGAAAGCAGCAGCCACATGTGAAAGGCGCTCGGTTTCGCCACGGGCTGCCCGACTGGCAGGCAGGCACACCATGGGATGTGAGCACCCAACAAACAGCGCCAAGCAAAGGTGGAACTGCCCAGCGCTTCTAGAAAGAGTAAAGACTGGCATCCCCATACACCACTGGTGATTTTCTGGATTTTCTGATCCTTTTACTCATACAATCTCAACACATTGCTTTTTCATGAAGAAACAGAAGGGACAGAGGCACCATTTTCCTCTCAATTGGCACCTGCGCTGTTCTGTGTGTAGTAGGCTGGAATAACGATCTGGGGTTTGCTGCTGCATTGTAACACTGTTTTCATTTTCAGAGTAAAACAGGCTGCAGGGAGCTCTGAAGTCCACGCACAAGGTGATAAAATACACTGCTAAAGTAAATGGTGGTCTAAATGACATCGGGTGCCAGCAAAGAGTTACCCTCATGTCTCATGTGCGTTGTATAGGTCATACACAACTTTAAAATTTGTATTCCCTACCAAATTTAAAAAAAAAATATCTGGAGTGATGAAAGTGTGTTGTGGTTTTCTACTTTCATTTGTTGTACATGTTGACCTCCCCAAGTAAATAGTTTGCACAGAAATTAACTGATTTTATAATTCTGTTGCACTGTGACTAAAAATCCAAAAGGCTCTCCTCATACAATCATGTAAAGGTTATCTAGTATAAAGCTGTAGAGATATAGTGTTCAAAAATATTATTTTTGATTTCCCCAGATTTCTAATGTCTAGCTGACCTAGTAGATACAGAGGCAATAAGCCTCAATTTGACATGTCAACCAAGAAACACATCTGAAGATTTTTTTGAGGTGACTTGTTGATATGCACATTCACTCTGCTGTGTGTGTAAAATCATTGACACTCAGGAGTTTTTAAATCCCAGCAGCATCCAGAGCCAGCTTGCTGATGACCCTCTGCCATGCACCACACCTACAGTGTGCACACGGGTGCTGGAAGCACTCACGCCTTTAGTTTCTCTCCACCCCACATTCCCAGGGTTAAGTGATTATGGGATTAGGAAGATAGAGGGAAAGTAGCTGCTTTGTGAACAGGCACAAGAAATATCTGTCTAGGAAACAAGTATCTACTGGCAGGTAATCCTCCTTTCTCTATGAGTGACTGTAAATACATATTCATACTCTGGGTAGCTCTGAGCACACACGTTACAGGCTTAATAGGAATATTCTTGGAATATCTCTGCCAAATAGCAAATCATGCCTCCTCACATGTGATGGCAAAGTACTCAGGAAAGGAGGCTCCAGCTGGCTGCTCTGCAGGTCTTGGGGAAATTAAGTAACAAATTCTACAGAAGACTAGGAACTTTCGCAAAGTCTAAGTTCCAGATTATGCCTTGTCCAGATAAAAAGATAAAGAGACTAACATGTAAGTGAACAGAAAAATACTTCATCCCTGCTCACATAAAAAGTTAATCTCTTGATTTAAGCAGATCACAAGACAAGTGAAACAGGTAATGTGACTCTTTAAGCCTGTAGGAGAAAGCCTGCCTTAAACTCCTGAACCTCTGTCATGCTCTTGAGCTTCTGGGGTGGCCACCAAAAAGGTTACATTCAGGATGCAAAAGCAAACAAGCAGTCACAGTCTTAAAGACCTTCCTAGAAAGAGATGGCAGTATTGAAAGTTCCATTGAGGTCTCAGAATAGAAGAATCATGAGTGAATAATAGAACACAAACAGGGCAGCCTTCAGTAGCTGGGCAACAGATGAGAACAGCTATGATATTGCATAGCCTTAAAATGCATTTCAAAACAAAGGGAAATCTCCCCAAAATGGTAATGTCTAGGTGCTCCCCATGCAGAGACACTGATCCAATTAGCCATAGAAATATACAGCAGATTCTGATGTTGCTGAAGACCAAAACCATCTTCTCTAATTTGTCTCAGCACCATTTTTTCTCCCCCTCAACTTTCTGCGGAGGAAGGCACACGTCAAGAAGACCAAGAAAGGTAATAGGAACACAACCAATTCCCATCATAGGGACAAGAAAGGTCTGGAGTGGAAGAACTAGTGATTCTCAGAAGTGTCTGAAGTAAAAAGAAGAATCCCACAGGAGCCAATCATCATAACATAAAAGCTTTAAAAATGCCACACCAGATGTCCAACTCTTTGTCTGGGAATCATTCTTTCAGCTGATCTTCCCGATCTTTCAGCCTGGTTTAGTGCTCCAGGAAGACACTGTCACATGAACCTAACAGAAGGCCCACTCCTCCCAAATAAAAAACACCTTATGACACAGTAGGAAGAATCTAGTGACACCCTGTTTATCCCAAATGCTGTCCTGTTATGGTATGTTGACTGCTGCATGACAGTGACTGTGTGTGGGAGTAACACTTGGTATTCACACACCCAACAACTCAGCATTGCTGCCCACAGCTGTAGATGGGACCCAAGAGTCTGATCACAGAGACTGCCCTAAGTACACAGAACAGACCCAGAGATATGGAAAAGTGTCCACACCTCTGACTGAAGATGACTGTAAAGGCAGACATCACCAAAAGAACCACAATCACCTGAAGAAAAACATGCCCAACAGGCTGAGAGCGTTTTAGGAATATAAGCAGGCTGATGTCTTGGATGCAGGCTACTCATAGTGAGCTTGCCATGAATTATCAAGCTAATAGTACTATCCAGTACTAAGAAACAACACCAGCTATTTCTCCCTGTCCCCAAGATGAGAAAAAGTCACTGTGTTTTGTGGCCAGAACACCCACTGCTTTCTTCCAGAATGGGCTCTCTTTGGAAAGGAGAGAAAAGCTGGGTTTGGAAAAAGCAGTTTAGGTAGGATAGGACTTGTGCAACTTTCTCCATGGAGAAGGGAGCTCTTCTTTCTAAAGCAGAGAAGGAGGAAAATATAGACTATGCCTCTTAGAGCAAGTTATTTATGGACTACCAGAGGGGTTTACATCCCCACTTACTCTGCTTCCTTCCATGATCCTAAGGGATCACTGTCCAGGAACAGATAGGAAGTAAAGCCAAAGATTAGGACACCAGAACCTAATCCATATATATTGGCATCTACAAAGCTGAAACAACTCACTTCTGCAGCTCTAGAAAAACTTGACAACTTTATAGGAGGGAGAAGGTGCCCAGGACAGTGGCTTTATGGCTTCAGTTGCCAAATACAGAAGGTAGTGCAATGTTCCTGTTTCAGAAATACAAGCTGTGAGTCAGACCACAGCCAAAGTATGACAGGACTTGATCCCCACCCACATCATTCCCTGCGGACTCTGAAGGCAGAAAAACTGTGTTTTGAGTAAACATTCAGCTTGTCCAAAGAAAGTGAGTGACCACAGGGAGAAACTGCAGCTTGGAAATCCATTCTCTTTGACCTGACCTCAGAAATCCCCTGGCTGCACCCTGGGCTGCTCCTGCTCACTGTGGTTCTTTTCCATTGCCATTACAGAGTGACTTGGTATTTTCTGTAGGAAGAAAAGTCTTGCAGCTTTGAACAGGAAAGGTTGAGTACAGCTTCAAACTTGGGAATTAACTATGAATTTGCCTTTTGAGCAGCTGCAAGCTAAAAGTGATACATCCAGCAGATGGGAGCCTGCATATCTGGGCATGGAGTTGAGGACAGCAGAGATATTTGCTGTCCTGGTGCTCCCTTCTGGCCTTACGGCCGAAATCTTATCAGATTAAAAATTTACAGGAGTTGTACATCTCACCCAAATGGAACAAGAATGGGCACGTCAGTCTGGAAAGGGGATTAACACCTAGCATGTGGTGCAAGGCACAATGCCAGAAGGCTTAACTGAGGAAGCTATAAAAGCAAAGAAAAAAAAGGAAGAATAAAAGAGAGAAAATTAAATTGTAATAATGAAGATTAGTGCTAACCAAGAATAGCTGAGATGCAGTGAAGATTGCAGTGAAGGAAATTATGATATAAACCATCACCCACGTGAAGCAGGGCTGTCTGACAGAATGTGTTGCTCATTCATACCACGTAAGGTGAGTACTAGCAACATACCTGATAGGTCCAAAAGTCTCTGCTTCAGCTGGTAGCCCCCAGTGGCAAACATGAATGTACCTCAATACAAAGGATGTGACTAAAGAATACAACAATTTTCTAGTGGCAACTGGATCATTGCTATTGCTACCCCAGTGCTATATTAAATAATCAATATATTAAATAATATTTAATAATCAATTAAATTTTTTCATTTATAGCCCTACAAAAATAAAAATCATGTTTCACAAAGCATTTGCAAGTAGCAATAAATTATGTAAAACAAATGCATTACCTTCTACATCAGGGTCTCCAAACGGATTTAATTCTGCTGTGTCAGGATCACCAAAAGGGTTTGTGGTGGAGTTGGCCGGGTCTTGCTCCCCTTCATCCAGAAAACTAAGCTTATTGATAAGCTCTACAAACAAATTGGAATATTGTTTTAAAATAGATACAAACTGTTCATCCAACATATCTGGAGCTTAAAAAGCTCCATGTCAACAGTCCCTTGAAACACTGCACCAGGGTATGGCACGAACTGCACAACTAAGTTAACACAGTCCAGTAAGTACATCAACAAAGGGAAAAAAAAAAGTGAAATGAATGAAACTTCTATTTCCTGATCAGAACATTATGTAACAGAAATGACTTCTAAAAAGGCCTTCTCTTTCCTTTGTTAAATAAATGTTGCGGAACATCTAACGAGCTAAATAGAGTGATTTTGATTGTCCACATACACGCTAACTATCGGCAGGAAATTTTAATTTTTGGATGCAAAGTGCACATAAAAGCACAGAGAGGACATATTGTCACTTCAGAAAGGTCAAGTATTACTGACTACACAACTAATGTTTTAAGCTTAGGGTCTGGTGGTTCCTCTTTCTTTTTTTTTTGTAATTTTTTTTCTTTCTTGTTCATTATCAGATGACAACGGAGCTGTAGCGGAGACAGGCTCTTTCTCTATCATGTTGTTACCTGTTGGATGCACTACAAATTACTGAGAGTCATGCTGGGTGGAAGCACAGAGATAAAACTGACAGCTGAATACAGGCAGGAGTCAAAAGGTAATGGGTCACAGTAAATACAATCAGAAACAGAAAGAAAGGATGAAAGCTCATAGACCTTCAGAGGAACTGGCTGATTTAGCTGAAGGCATATTTGCTCGCTTTATGCAGTCATCTTGATCTTCATCTAAGCTGCTCAGAGCATTCAACTGGTTTACAATTTCTGTAAATAGAAGCCAGTCAAGACAAACGTAAGGCAAGGGCATTTAATGAAACAGAAGTGGAACGAACTGTTACCAGAAAGAGAGAGAGCGAGGGAGAGAGGGTAAAAGAATATATTTAGAACGAGTCCTTACAATTATATAACTACAGCAAAGTACCTGTGTAGGTGCTTCAGGGATAATTTAACGTGAAACCCAGTTAACAAGACATAAACAAAACCCAGCCAGGTTATGGTGTCAGCAACAATAGTTAGTTTTATGAGGACAAGTATTAAGCACAATCAGCTGAAAATTTAGATAGGTGTACTCGATATAATTTAAAGATTTTTCCTGCTCATGAAGAAAGCCTGAATATGAAAACATTGTCAATCAACACAAATCAGCCCCAGAACAATTTATCTCCCTCCCAAACCCTTAAGGTTACAGCAAACTAACCTATACAATATGCATTTTTATCTTTTTTTTTGTTTATAAACACACTCTGATTATTTAACATTTACAATTAGTCACCATTGCATTCTGATCTATGACAAGTTGAATTTACCTAAATGGTTCTAAAATACATGCTCAGTATTGTGCCAGGAGAATGCAAACTGAATGTATATATCACCTGAATTTTCACTGTCATGCTACGTAAGTAACACCTTGCTGTTTGTTAAAATCCTATTTCACCTTCTATCCATAGTGGAGAGCTCTAAATTGCCACGAATTAGTAATTTTTAAAAAGTGTAAAATGTTTCATTCTAGTCAAGATGGGGATGACTCCATAATTCTGGAAGGAAAGAAACAAAAAACATCTGGGCCTGAGTGGCTTCTGGCCCAAGGGGAAAAATTCCTCTCTGCTCCCCCCTGACGCAATCCCATCCACAGCATCTGACAAATGGAGCTTCTGTAGTAATGGGGATTGAGCCTGGGGCATCTCTGAGAGACCTGAGCATAAGTTTCTGTGGAGAGGGGACAGCCTTCCTCATCCTTCCAGATGACAAACAGGCAAGAGAAACCCGTGCAGGAGAGATGATCCTGCTTGTTGAATATCACTGCCCCACCGACAGCCTTTTTCATCTCCCGTCTTTTCCCCATGAAATAAATGGATGATGCCTTCTGGTATCACCAGCGAAGTTAAAGCTTCGTGCCAGTCATTCTTGTATTTCCTTTAAAGTTTCATTTCTTGTGTACAAAAGAAGTTACCTCTCAGTAACCTTATTGCTATTTTGAACTTTACTTTTTCTCATCTGGCTTTTGTTTGGAAAGCAAAGTTTGTCTTTATTCAATGAACTAGTTTTAGGGAGCAAGATAGCAAACTGAGGCAAAAATTGAGTAGTATCCTGACTGTTCCTGACTGCTCCAACTCACGTGTCCATGGCCACCCAGAACTTCCTAGTCGGAGGGTTTTTTCATAGCTGACACACTGACACCCCTCCTGATCTCATGCCTTCACAGACAGCACAAAGAAACTGAAGCCCAAAGCAGACCAGAACCTGGTAATATTTCTGTCACATGGATAAAAACTTCTTTGGTAAATTTAAACTGCTTTGCAAAGACATGCCAATCTGCAAATTACCAAGGAAAATTACTTACTCTGCCAATATCTATTGGACATCCTAAATGTCAGTGACAAACCCCAAGCAGAATTCCTCTGTAATGCATCTCCCTACTGATCTTGACCTTGTAAGCATAAATCTGCTTACAAGGTTTTACACTTATATCTGTCTACACAGAGTTAGCTTAATCATCCTCACTTCCTTATTTTTAGCTCCAACACACAAGACTATTATCCTAAGAAATAATACCAAAACTGTCCCAAAACTTAGCTTTCTCAGTATAAAACCATATATACACCTGAGAAATCTACACAATATACCACTATCTTCTGGGAATTTTTTAGGACTCGAGATAGACAATGAAATATACCTTTCTGCACTCAAATAAAACAGAGCTGACCTCATAAAACAGCAGTAGTAATGAATTAGTAGTTAAAAACAAGCTCAGATGCTGGCTGGCATGATTTACAATTTATTACGTCAGCATGTAGAAAAAAAAGAAACAAAAAACAATTATAATTCAGATTTTACTGTCAGAAAATAACAAATTAAGTTCAGGGCTTTAAAAAGAGAGAGTTCTTTGATGTGGTCTGAATCACCTGGTCTTATCTGCCAACCTAAACACCCATACGCAGTACAATGTTTCTCATTACAATATTAAATGGTTTATGTCATATTTTGGAGTATGGAAATGGTAGGTTGGAGATTTATATCCTATATTATCTTTTATAAATCTCATTATCTATAAACACACATTAGCTTGTTCTACAAGTATGTCATATAAATCACTGGTTTGGTTTCTGGAGTTTTTTTCATTCTTCTCTCTCTCTCTCTCTTTTTTTTTTTTTTTTTCCCAAGCAGCCTGGTGATCCTGACAAAGAAAAAGAGTAAGAAGTTGTCAGGAGAGGTATGGTTTTGCAAATTGCAAAAAAAAAAGAGCTACACATACTGTTATATCCAGAAGCATGCTGGGATTCCTGCAATAGGTAGCACATGGGCACGTCCCTGATTCCATGTGGTGCCCCAGGACAGACACTGTGCTCCTGGGCAGATGGAGCAGAAGGCAGCTATTAACCCCAGCATGGGGCTCTAAGTAGGAATTAAAACATTAAGAGAAGCACATATTTATTACTGCCCTGTTTGTGAGTTACGAGGCACATTTTCTTCAAGTATGAGAGTTGTGCGTTCCACTGAAGACTAAGGACAGGATAATTCTGGGAGGTTTAAATCCATGTATATTGGCAGTGTAGAAACTAAATATTTGAAATTTAATTCATGGCAATAAACAATTTTCAACTTCACACAGAACAGTTGGGGGAGATACAGCTTTTACACATGAAAAATTTCAACAAGAAGTACTGGGAAAGAAGAGGGGGAAAGCCTGAGATGGAGTGAGATTTTTCCAAGTGAAAGCAGTGCTTGGAATGGAAAACATCTGTCAGTCTGGTCAGTTGTATGGCAGCAGTTCCATGTCCACCCCAAATTCCAGTGCTTTTGAGGTCAGTCAGTAGTGCACCACCTAATTCATAGCTGAAGAAACAGAGGCACAGATACCTACTCCAAGTTAGGCAACCCATCAAGGAAGAGAAGCAGCATTTCCTAACTCACCTGCACCATCTAGAGCCCCACACAGCAGTGGATACATATGTTCACCTATGAAACTGCAACTTTGGCACGACGAAAAAAACCCCACAAACAAAACCAACAAAAATTGTTGTACACTGCAAAAAGGAACATTGTCTGATAAAAGACTTGGAGCACCTCTTGCAGCTGTGCCTTGGGAACGACAACAGTTCAGACATCAAGTCAGCAGCGAGAAAACCTGGAGTCAAAAGCAGGAGAAGAATCCCTCCCTCTTTGCTACTTGCATTTTACCCACTGCAAGCTCAATTACAAACATTAACTGTGTGCTGCTCCCATCATTTCCATGAGCTGTTACAGGCAGTATCCCCATTTTACAGCTGGGAAAACAGGCGCACCGAGGTGAGGGATTTGCCATGGGGCGCTCTGAGTCAGTGAGGCATTCCAGCTCCTCAGCTGCCAACACCCAGCACAGCACAGGAGGAGAAAATGTTGGTAGCAGCAAGCTTTCAAAAGGGTTATGTAACTTCCTCAATTAATTTTATGATATTCTGTGAACACTGCTTTTGAAAGAGTTCTTTGCTACATCAGTTTCGTTACATTTCCTTCTTTCTAAATTTTTTCCTGCTTTTCTACAACGATTCCTACCTCATTCTCCCTTGCTTCCTCAGCTCTTCTCCTAGCTTTCCCCGTTCATTATATTTATTACACGAGTCACTGTAATTGCCAATGAAATCAATCTTGAACACATGTTGAAATAGATACTTTACATCTTATTTATTAATGTTTACTTACTGCCCTATGTTTTATGTTCTCCCATTTGCTTGGGAAATTGCATGCACTCATTCCCCTTCACCATCCCTCTCCTTCTCAAAGGTGGGAAAAGCTGGCCAGGCTTGTAAAGCAACTCAGCTGTTGTAACCAACATAAGAAGAAAAAGTCCAAGGTTGATCTTCCCCACGTCATGATTCATTTACAAAAAAAACAATCCAACACTCCCATCTTGTATGGTTAGAAAACAGTATAAGAGCAGGCTGAGCAAAGCACAGAAGTTGTATATTCCAGAAGTATTATTCCTTCTGCCTTTCAAGGAGGTATTGTTAGTTTTGAACAGATAATTTTGGCCTTTGCAATAGCAGATGGAAAAGCTGAAATGACTCTAAAATAGCTTGTGTTGCACATCAGCCAGCTCACCCTTCCTATTTATCTCCAGGGATGTTCACACCATACCCAAAGGATAGTAGACAGCCTAGTCTAACCTAGATAAGACTTTTGCTGGTTTAGAAATCATTGTAGCCTTGTTGAGTGCTGCAAAATCAAGTGTTGAGAAGCAAGATCAGATGCTTTACATCTGTTGCCCTTCTGTATCTGGTTTTTCTGTAGTCCTCAGTGCAGTACCCAGGCAGATCCTAATAAAACCCCTGTGCACAGGAGTTTCTATGGACTGAACATTACCTCTCCTTAATTTGGCCTTCTCTGTGATTATCCAATGGCCTGGTGAACGTGTCAGGTTTTGTTTGATGTTGTGATCTGATTTATTCTGGTTACACTGGGAAAGAACTAAACCTTGCAGAATGATTTCAGTGTGGCCAGACTGGTATATCTCTGCTCCCTGACCAAGAATACATTATCTTGGTTTCTCAGATATCTTGTTCCAGACTTTCCAATATGCTCTGTGCCAGACACATACAGCATAACTAGAGATTTGGCCAGGGTAAAAAATGTTTAATTGAATATGTAAAGCATACAGAAAACATATTTGCATCCTTTCACAACACTAAATGTAACTAAGTAATAAATGCTTCAGGCTGAACCTTTTGATTGCAACGAAAGCTCAAAAAGAAGTGATGAAAGTAATGTTTCATAACACAGAACCAATGCTCCTCTGAATTTTCAAGAACAGATTTGATAATTCACTTCTCTGCTCGGGATGCTCTTCCCCCACTTTGGAGAATGTTCCCTTTATTTCAGACATTTTAAAAGATCATTGGAAGTTATGAAGTCTGGCACCAGAAGTTAATTTTCTTTTCCTGATTCATTACACAATGAGTTCCTACAGAACCCATCTGGAGCAGTACTACACACTGATCTCCACCAACAATTTAACATCATCTCATCCTGATCTGACTTGCCTCGATTAGTTCAGCTATCCTGAACACACTAAGCATTTCCATCAGCAATTCAAATGTGGTTACACTATCTCACTTCAAACAACTTCACTATGAAATTCATTAAAGTCCTTTAACAGCCTCCCAGTTTCTTTTCCATCAGACACCCCTACCCAAAAGGCAGCAATATGCAGCCTGGAATTGCCATGTTATTGAGCAGAACCTCAGCACTTGTCCATGGCACAACTCATTTCGCAGTTATTCTCAAAAAGTGCCTTCATTATTTCACTTGAGTCTCTCCTCCTGTCTTGTCCCTCACTGACCCTTTCCTTCTGCTTTTTCTGCCCCTCTGCTCATACCTAAAATGCTACCTACTTAGTGCATTCCCTCCCAAAAACAGGACACACAGACACAAATCAATTCGTTGAGTTATGGATGGGTTCCTCTTCAATCAAGCTATCTTAAATATTGTTCTGGTTGTTAGGATTTTTTTTAAGTGAAATAAAAACACAGCATAAGGATAAAAAAATGGGGACAATTAGCAAAGGACACTATATTTTACAATGACTGTGGCAAAACCAACCTGTAATTTTTGCAGCCTTTTCCTCTTGATTCACTCTGTTTTCTTCATCTTCTTCATTGTCTTCCTCAAAATCATCTAGGTTACCAATATCAGCTTGTTTCATACTCATCAAACTAGCCAGGCTTTGCATGTCTTCATCCCTAAATAACAAACATCACACCAGGCATTAAAATGCAGCTTGTTAATACCACATCTGATATTACTGCGTTCTTAAAAATTCTTTAAATATTTTGATGTTTTCTTCAGGGAGGTCTATGATATCAGATCATAGACCTGAATATAGTGAAAAAGAAAATTAATACAACTCATAAATATATATCAATTTCTGAAGGGAAAGTTTTCAATTAACAAAATTGGAAAGGGTAAAAAAAATACTGCTTTGCATCAAGAGTTAACTTAACAACTGCTTCCTAAAATTTTAAACCAGCCCAGAAAGGCTGGCAAATGCTTGCCTGGTCTGCTTTGGTTAAAGTGAAAATGCTTGGCCAGACCTACTTCCCATATGCTGCATGCAATACCTACATTCATTCATAACTCCTGATACTATTACACGATTAAAATCCATTTTATAAATATCTGAAGTCATTAACTGGATTTATTTTTTTAAAAAAGGCATTCTCTATTTACACATGCTGGAAACCAATGCTTTCACAAAGAGCAGCTTTTTTCAGATCCCTTGTTCAGGGTACTATGAAAGCCCTGTCAATAACTTGCAATCTATAACCAATGAGTGAGTCAAGGGAGTGGTAATCAGTGCCCAAGAGAACTCTTCCCACAGGATGTTCTTGTGCTCAACCCAAAAATCTTAACTCTTAACCCCACCCTCCCTCACCTTCCAACTGGCTTTGTCCTTATTGCATTCTTTGTGAAATATCAGTGTGCTCCCTTGAAATCTGCTAAGGGTATTGTTGGATGAACACACACATGCACATAAACACACACTCCCACTCATTTCAGACCTGTAGATACTTTTAAGCTGTCGTTATTTAAAATGGCTGTAAGAGTAGAGCACAAGCTATTTGTCTCTGAAGAATACAAGGATGAAATCAGAGTAAAAAAACAGCTTTTACTCAGTTAAGAAACCAAGTAAGGCAGGAATGATAGGTATGCTGAAGGATGCTCTCAAAGTCCACCATTCTATACAGAAAGAGCTCTTTATCCAAAGGATTCTTTGAAAAGCAACACAAAGCAGGCTATCTGGTTTAAAAAACCCCCAACAAACAAACAACTTACGTGGCTTTTCCTTCCCTCAGGAAAATACAAGATAAGGAGAACTGTAGTGTGGCAGCTACCACTTTCTTAGACAAAGGCTTGAATTTTAACCTGACATCTGTCTGTGTAGGCATGGGGCTGGCATATTGCTTCATGTTGATGCTGCTGGTGGCAAGCGCTTTTCTACGTCCAGAAGGAGATTCCTGAAAGCAGAAGAAAAACAAAGCTAATGTAAAAGGTGCTGTTACGCTAAAACCTGAATGTGCACAAAACAAAAAATGCACTCATTAAATCTGTGGGGGTTACTTTGGTTTTGGTTTTCTTTTCCAAAACATCGCCATGGCCCTGTTGAGTGACAGAAAACCATTTCTTAAACTACGTCAGTCACTAATGGTGGTGGAGCTTTGAACACTTTCTTAGTGCATTGAAAAAAAAAAAAAGGTTGTGCATTGTGATTAGTGGTGCTCCATTACAAGATCTAGGGTGTCTTTAATGGCTTGAGCTTGAACCAGATCCACAGCCCCCATCCAGTTAAACTGCTGGCAATATATTCTCATTTCTTTTCACAGTAAATTGGACTTGCTCTGTCCAAACATGGCTAGTTCTGGACTGGAACTTCCAGCCTATGGAAGACACAGGTTTGGACCATGCATGTATTTCTTTCCATAGTAGTCTGAGGTCATCTAGTTTGTGTTCCATGCTCAAATAGAATACCTGAATATTTTTCAAAATAGCGGTTCTTCTCATTAGTGTTGTACATGCACTATCAAGAGTGAAAGGTTTCTGAAACTAAAACTGACAATACTTCCAAAAATACTGATAAAAATTTTGCAAGAAAAAAATAAAGAGCAAAATAGATAAAAGCCAAAATTTTATTTGAAAAGCTGAAGTTGTATTTCAATATAAAAATGTTGCTCATGCTTTAACATTTCAGACGAATTAATCTAAAATGCATCTAAGAATCTACTCTCTTGTTCTGTCTAGTATCAGCATCATCAGGAAAGGAATGATTATATGTCAAAAAGCTCCAGTAGCAAAAAATAAAACAAAAAAGCCCCGCTATTAATTCTTTTGAAAAATGTTCCCACAATAAGACTACATTTTACTGCAGTTGACAATTTGTGTTGAATAAAGAATACTAATTCAATCAAAACATTCAAGCATCCTTTTTCAAAGTACTTGACATTTCTGCCCAGTAGAATAAGTCAGAATGTAATATGTCATCCCCAAAGAATACCTTGTTTAAAAAACTAGCCTTATCTGACAGATTATGCACAGCAATATTATACAGAACTATTAGTGCATGTAGATACCTTATGAATGAATTTCAAAAATGCATCAAACACTTGAGAAGGATTTAGGCCCTCTCAGAAGAAATACTTAAGAATATGCAAATACTCTCAGCTGAATTAAGTTGAACAGATGCGACTCTCACAAACAATACGAGTGCTCCTTCCCTGGCTGCAATTGTCAATCAAAGAGCAAGATTAAGGTCCAAGGTTCTGACAATGTGTAAAATGGAAAGTACGATCAGGGAGTTTCCATTATTACACAGATATGAACAACAATAATCTGTTATTGTATCATACCTTTAGAATAACTAACATTACGACTCGTTATACGGAATGCAAGGTTTACTGCAGCGCCTGTTCAGGCATCTACACCCAACAGGATCTCAGGCAACTCATCTTGGAAGATTTTGAATAGTTGATGTTGACAGTAAGATGTTGATCTTAGCAAGATCAACAGATCTTAGAGCAAATCGTGGGTGCTTGCTTGCAGCCTTCCAGATGAATCATTCATCAACCAGACCATTCCTGTATTCTGACGTGCTCCTCTCAGTCTGATTACGAAAATCACTTTTCAGCAGCTGTGAATATCCCCAATCCAACAAAGATCTGGATTTATTTGCTTGTGTAGCTACAAATGCCTTCTAGGTGCTGGCTCACCTGTTAGATGCAGCCAATGACATGACAGCAACACACAGACCTCCCACGAGGTCTCTTAGGGAACACCAATATGCTTCAGTGACTCCAAAAAACAGGGCTACCTGGGGGCAGAGCTACTTTCTCTTGTTACAAACACACCATCTTATCTGGTAAGTCAGGTGCATGTTGTCTTTATCACAGTGATTTTTCTAAAAAAGTCAAAGCAAACAAGATAAGCCAAGCCCATCTCCAATTCAATGGTGGTGCTGAAGTGAAGAGAAAGCACACGACATTAAACTTGCAAGCATGCAAAAGCTAGGCACAGATAGCAAGGCAGAAGAATTTTGAAATGATGTGAAATTACATTTTCACTTAATATCTACTTATTGTACAAATTATCATCTTGTCATTTGCACCTTCAGATTATCCGGATTGGAGAGTGAATAAAAGACATGAATAAGGAAGAGGCAAAGTTCTCCCAGTTAAGGTGATCATCAGCAATTCCTAATGGAATCTTCTGGTGTTAGCTGATGTAGAGGAAAAGGGAAATGAGAATGAAGGCAGCAGGGTGCCAGGACAAAGGGACGAAACCAGCCATGAGCAGGAAGATTCTCCTATCATTATATATCTTGATGTGCTGTGAAGAACAAGACACACTTGGCAATCGAGTTTGGTCTTCCTAAGAAATTAATTAATTTCACATTTTTGTGGGCCAAAGACAGAAGTTGACTTTTCAAGTTCCAAGTGCCTACAAAAGTCCAAATTTGTAATATTATCATACCCAAAAAAAAGAAAAAAAAGAAAGAAAAAAAAAAGCACCAAAAAACCAAAACCACAACAAAAAAACCACAACCAAAATCCTCAAACCCAAATAAAAATAGTGCCTGATATTTCAAGTCTTATTTTGCTTCACATGCTAGTTTAACTATATCCTCCCACTCTTGCAGAAAGTGAAGTCTGTCACAAGTTTTGCAATGTTTTCTCCTTTTGAGCTTTACGGGTTTGGCCTTAACATGGTTTTAGCTACATAAGTAGATGGGCAAAAACTTTTTGCATGTTAAAAGAATGCTCTCAAGCTGCTTCGGTCCATGACTGATTCACTATGGATTGTGTTTTCTACTCTGACACACAACCAACCTCTAAAAAATTGTCTTTAAATGACAAGAGTGTTCTAACAACCACTTCTTGCAAAGATTGTAGCATTTTCTTCCTAAAAACCAAGATGCTTCCTATAGTAGAATTTGAGTTACCCCAGAAACACAAAGACATTTTCTTGCAGAAGGATAAATAATTCTTAAATTAGCAGGGATAAAATAATCCAAGAATGGAGTAGACAGCAAACCCACAAGCACATGGACAGAAACAGCTGAGCAGTAGGCTTAAATGAGTTATTGCAAAGAGAAGCCCACTTTGGTAGGATACTGAATAAATAATATCCATTTAAAGGTAAAATCTGATCTGGTGTTTACTTGTGTCTCATATGAGCATGTGGAAAGTCAAGCAGGAATCCCAGTGCAAATGTTTTAATTGCTCAACTTTCCTGCTTTTGCCTATATAATCAAAGTTTAAACTGTGTAAGGCTCTGTTATGCCTCCAGGTGTTTTACATTCATGTGACTGCCAGGGTTGCCACATCCTGTTTTGTGAAAGGGTGGCATGAAAAGTCAATTTTGAAGTCACAAGAGAGAAACAATCCAATCCAATAATAAAGAGAGGTGACAAAATACAACACTTAACAGTGAAGATGGAGTGCATTCTGTAAGAAAACAGCAATTTTGAAACTCTTTACTTTTAAGAAAGGCAATGCATTATGCAAATAAAATCAGCTATGATATCCGAATGCCAAAGAAAGACCGAAGACAACATACAATGCCAGGAAAATACAAATACCTCTGTTATCTTCCAGCTCAAATATCCTACTGAGACTGAGAATGGGCACTGCTGGACTCATAACTGAATACATGGAGCATTGGTTAACAACTATTTTTTGTTTCATGTTTGTTACTGTATGGTTCTAGCAAGCGAAACAGCACACTGGAAAAAAAAAGTGCCATTCTCCTAGAAATTGTTAATAAATGATTAAAAATATAACTAGTATGTTAGCAGAAACTACAGCAGGCCTATCTTCTTGCATAATTAAATAATGGCCATGTGGTCAACTAAAGGCTCTGAGAAACCTGTATGTTATTCTTAAAGTGCATTGTTTGCTAGAGTGATCATTGTAACTCACTGAAGAAGAGTAAAACCTGCACATAAACACACAGCAATACTTCTCCATCTTTCTCACCTGTATTGGGGAATTTCTGCTTTTGTATTCTACACTTATCTCTCACAAGAAGCTTCACTTCCCTTGACAGTCTCCTCCTCCTATTACCCACAGTTCCTAAAATGCCTCCTCAAACATACACCATTTTTTGGGTGAAATAACCCTATCTGGCCAGTACATCAAGCTGTTCCCAGCTGGCAAAGCAGCAGGATGAAGCACGTGGCTGGCTGTGCACTATGCCCACTGGGTGGTTGATACTTGTGCATCCTGGTAGTTTAGGAAAAATTTGAGCAAATTATTAAAAATCTGGAATACGAAGATGCACTCAAAGATAGCAAAATGAAAATTAATATAGAAAACAGAAAGACTTCCCAGCACCCTGGAGTACTTTGATTTCTGAATTCAGACAAAGAAATATGTAGAACAAGCAATACTCAGTAGATCAATAAAAGATGCATTCTTTTTTTGAAAAAAAGAATATTAGTAATAACTAACTCAGGCAGTTCCCAATTTCAAGGCATGCTGTTTGTCTTTGCACAGACTTTAAAAACATTGTCACCTCAGATACCAACAGAAGTGCAATTCAGTGGTGCCATCAGAAAGGCAAATTCCAGACAATCTGAAGCCACAGGAATCACAAGCTGTGAGTGCAGGGCCAGGCTCAGATGAGCTCTCACCTTGCACTCAGCTCTGCAAAACCTGGGGACCAGCAGCACACACAGACATGGACTGCAAGCAGGGTTTCAAAAAGCTCTGCATGGTTTTTCAAGGAGCAGTTCCCAACACTATCTCCCCCCAGCACTTTAAGTTACTTCCACAAATGACCGTCATATAACAAAGTTTGGGGCTAGAGAAGGGAAAAATAACATTGGACAAACTGTAGTAATTTCAAATGAAGCCAAAGAAGCTGCATTCACTGACACAGATACGGGGCCAGACCCATTTACCACACAAATTCCTTTTCAGTAATGCAACCGTGCATTATTCCTGCCACAACATTCCTGACACTG